ATAGATAGAGGAGATATATAAAAAATTATATCTAAACAATCAGAGGTATGGAAGATATACCTTATATAGCACCAATCTAAGTGATTTTCACTGCTGTGTGATCTGTACGTAAACCAGTAACACAATTTAATGGGTTTAGCTTCCTACATAAAGGAGACACATATATCGCAAAAACTGGTATCTGAACAATCAGTGGTACAAGAAATTAAGATTATACAGCACAGATTTTGACGATTTTCTCAGTAGACTTTGTATTATTATTTAAAAAATATCCTACGAAATTTATCGGTTTTAGCTGTCCAAATAAAGGAGTTTTACAGTAAAACCCCATATCTGAACAATCAGTTGTATGGAGGATATAAAAAGGTTACAGTGACCCGCTCTTTGTTAATTTACTGTAAACTTTCTGTTGGTAATTAGTGAAAATATTGCGAAATTTCATGTTTCTAGCTGCATATATGGAGAAGTTATAACAAAGAATCCCGAATCTGAACAATCAGTTGTATGGAGGCTATAGGTTATAGCGACCCGATCTTCGCCATTTTTACTGTAAGTATTTTTTTGGCAATGGGTGGAAATATAGCGAAATGTCATGTTCCCAGCTGCATAGGTGGAGTAGTTATAACGAAAAATCGTATATCTGAACAATCAGTTGTATGGGAGCTGTATGTAAAAGTGACCCGATCTTTGTTATTTTCACTGTAAGTATTCTGTTAATAATGAGTGAAAACAGTGCGAATTTTGATGTTCCTAGCTGCATAAATGAAGAAGTTATGGCAAAAAATCTAATATCTGAACAATCAGTTGTATGGGAGCTATATGTTATAGTGGTCCGATTCTTCCAGTTCCGACAAATGATTAATACATTATAAAAATACACCCACCTACCCGGATATCTCGAAAGCTGAGAGACTAAATTGCATACAAACAGACGGACAGACAGACGGACATGGCTAAATCGACTCATCTCGCCATTCTCATCATTTAAGTATACATTTTAATGGGTCTATCTCTTCTTATTCTGGCACTTACAAACATCGGACCAAAGTTATAATACCATTTCATGCTCATGAAAGGTATAAAAACAGCGGAAACAGTATTTTAAAATTTTTACAAAATATCTTAACAGAACCGGTAGAAACAGTAACTGACGATGATAAAAAGTTAAAACTAATGACCATTTATCATAACGACCCTGTAACAGGCGGACACTGCGGAATTAAAAAACGTTATGCAAAATTACGTACAAAATATCACTGGAAAAATATGACCCGTGATCACAGTTGCCGTTTCCAATTTCTTTTTCGGTTCAAAAAATGGACCAAATGGTAAAAAATAGACCAGTTTCTATAACATCGAGAAATTGAGTGGAGTTTGTTGCTATTTATCAAGAATATAGGCCAATTCAGTTTTTGTAACGTTTTTTACATATTGCGTACAAAGAGCATTACAATCGTATATTAAATATTTTTTAAAGTAACATAAATTGAAGCGTGCTATGTCAGATGATTAGCGATGCCAATTTGAAGATCAGTGGCTTAATCAAACTTTTAGCAGGTGTTCCAGAAATTCATCAATTAAATAGAAGAAATTAAAAACTATTGCATGAAGTAAAAGGGTGATAATAACCTAACCAAAGCATTGTGAAATGGACCATTTGAAAAAGCATTGGACCAATGGACCAAACGAAAATAATTTACCAAATTTGGTCCATTTGGGCCAAAACGGCAACCGTGCCCTTGATGTCGCACACCGTCTTCATTTTTGAGATTATGCGCTAAAAATATACACAGAGCTTCTATTTACCTTTCAGCAAAAGCTGGAGCAAAATTTTGTTATAATTTGTTAAAAAAAAAACTTAGGTAAAGTCGCCCTTGCCCATATGATTATCATGTGCTAAGAAATAGTTTTTCGCATTTTCTGACAAACGTATTATTTTGAGTTGTGACTCTTTTGAAGACGGTGTGCGATGTATCCAAGTTTGTTAAAATTTTTTCAAAATGTTTATTAAATAAGGTTAAGATTAAAAACAAGGAAAATCTTGTTTTAACGACACATTAGGACCGCTACCTGAGTCGAGTAGTGGTAACAGTTCCGCAATTACCATTTTACGCGATTTAACAAAGTATTTAGTAACAGGTGTAATGAATTCCATTAAGGGCCGAATTCACAGTGCTTAGTTAAACCATTGTTAACTTAACCACAAGAGTTTAATTATGAATTTATATTCAGAGCCACATAGTTAACTGTGGAAATTCGTATCGCCTGAAAATATACAAATTCTTAAAATCAATACTTTTCTATTCAAATTTGAAATTCGTTCCACAAAAAAAAAATGTATTTCACAAGAGTTTAACTATGGGGGCATGCTGGTTTAAACTTTTGTTAACTGAGCGTTGTGAGTATGAAAATCAATAGTTAAACTCTTATCAGTGGTTAACTACGCACTGTTAATTTGGCCCTGAATCTGATTTAGGGACTGAATTCAAAAATGAAATTTTTTCCGAATTAATAGAAACTCTTAAAGGTTAAACACCATCATGAAACTGTGGGTACTATCGAACGTAATGAAATTTTTTCCGATTGGGGTGTTTATTTAAAATATTTTATATTTTTGCACAACACAACAACTAACACAGTTTTTGATAATAAATTTTCCCCTTTTGAATTAATATTTGGGAAAAAGGCCATGGTGCCTCACGATTTAAAAAAAAATAACAAATTGACCCGATTTACAATGTAGAAGTCAAATCAAAATTTATTCACATGGAATTGGAGATAGGGCTTCGAAAATATCTTTTCAGCATATGAATATACATACTTCTTAACTTTTTTCCGAAATTATCCGAGTAACATTCAAATGTCGTCGCTTGGATGGAAAATTGCGTTAGCGTCATTTTGAAAATTTTTATTTGAAGATGCAGTTATATATTTTAAAATAAGGTATTAAGATTGTTCAAACGACTACTGCCGATTGAGTTTTGTAAACTTTAAATCATAGAACTATATACGTATAGGGCATTTGTTATGTCACATTCCTCATCTTGTAACTTGAACTAAATATTCATGAATTAATCCATTTATTATCAAACATTACTCATTTTTTGCTATGTGAATACCTGAATTGTTGTAGTACAAATGTAAGTTTGCGCAAACACTTTGAATTGTATAACACTTATGTGAATTTCATTAGTTATTGGCAACCCTCGATCGGCAGTTTGACAGATATCATAGATAAACATCATGATGCAATAATGAAAGGTGTTGTACGTTGTGACAGCTCGAAATCGAACTACCTTAGGTCAATATTGTATTTTGAAAGTACAAGATAAACGGGAATAAAAAAAAGCCTTTTAGTTGAAAAAGTACTAAATTGTATGCCTTCTCAACAGCGTTCCGATTATCAGAATAGGTATATATATGGCTTGGTAGTCTCATAAAATTGTAGATAATTAAAATAATAAAATTAGGCGTGTTTTTATTCACAGGAATATGATAATATGCTTAAAATTTTCGAGCTGATGAATACCCAGCTAGAACAGTATGACTTATATAATTCCTTTTATGAGCCGTATCACTAAGAAAATTATCCCTTATGAATTTGAAATGTGTCCCTTATATTGTACAGGCCAAAAAGAGGAATTCATTTACGTGTGATCTTTTGTCCCCCTCTTTCATATAGGCTTCTTGTGCGCATATATCAGGTTTCATAGCTGTTGACCATACCAATAATGCCTCATGCTCAGTTTTACTTGATCAATTCGTGTTCTCGAGAAAAAAAATTTCACGATTCAAAAATCTGAGTATAGCCGCCAAATTCTTTTCTCAAAATTTTGAAAATTCTTTGTTTTTTGCCCTATATTTGCTTTGTATGGTATTTTCAACAAAATATAGGCCAAAAACGATAAATGTTCAAACTTTGGAGAAAAACAATTTTTCAGATTTTTGGATCGTGAAAATTTTTTTTCTCGGAGAACACGAATTGATCTAGTAAATCTTAGTATGAGGCATTATTGGTATGGCCAACAGCTATCAAACCTGATATAGTCGCACTAAGGTTTTTTTGTGTTCCACAGTGTTATACAAGGGATACTTTGAGGAATCATATAAGGAATTATACATTACCCAAGTCCACGTATATCCAAGTTCGTGTCATACAGCAAGCATTGACTACTTTTTAAAGTTTTATTTATTTGTTTTTGAAATTGACGACATATTTCAGAATTTGTAATTAATACGTTGTGTTCATTTTAGTAAATCCACTTTTTTAATTGTACAAAATTTATTATATACATACAGTATCGGTCATATCAATAGCAACCCCATTTCAAAGTAATATTATTTCCCTCTCATGTTAATTTATTTATTGCTAAGAATTTGCAACAAAAGTAAAGTTGAATTTCTAACAAAACTCATATAAACCGAATTTTAAAACTTCGTAGAAAACTACAAAAAATACAACAAATTTTCAACCAAAATTCAAACCTTTTTCTCAGAAGTGTTAGAATTTTTTTGAGCACTCAGTTTTATAGCCCCTTCAATTTTAGTCTAATTATATGCAAGTTTGAAGTGGCTAAAAATTACCTTAGTTTTTTTAGAATCGATTAAAAACAAATCGTGTTTAATCGTCTTCTATATAAAGAAAACTTCGACCATATATCGATGGCTGAGTAGAAGATCGACCTATCTCGGCAGTCAGGTCGAAAACGCCCGATATCAGAAAGCTTTTCAACGCCCTATTTCAAAATTTGGCTGAAAAACGCCCTATTTTAGAATTTGATTGAAAAATGCCCTATCTCGGAACTCGGTTCAAAAACACCCTATCTCAGCACATTTTCGAAGTATTTTTATTTGAGATAGGACTTTTTTGAACCGACTAATAATAATAAAATATGTACTATATACATATCTAGTTTCAATATAAAAAAATTTATGTACACCATTAATTGTGTATACATATCTAAGTCAATATATGTGATATACATGTACATACATCTACATACATATCGTCGTTTAAAGTACAAAACCATGTATCAATAAATTGCAAAACCGCGTATAGAGATAATGCAAACCCACGTATGCGAGGTTGCATAAATTAATTTCTAGAGAGTAAAAACACTCATATTTCAAAATGGTTATCTTTTTGTAAAAAGCAATCGCATTTTTGGCTAGTATATTTCAGGAAGAATGGATAAGGATTGATCCAAAAACGTGTGTGAGCGAATCCAATTTTTAGCAGCAAATGTCAGTTACGCGGTTTTGTACTTTAAGCGACGATATGTATGTTAACAGGAACGCAGCAATCTAATACACGGGTGGAGCAGGAACGCAGCACAGCAGAAGCATACAAAAAATCTGCAAATAAATGGTTTTTTAGGTTTTTAACAAACGAGAACCTGGTTTCAACTTACTTCAACGTGTCTAAATCACAACGCACACACTAATGCAAAGGCGCAACAGGAACGCAACACTATAAAATACGGGCGGAGCAATATACAGGCGGAGCAGGAACGCAGCACAGCAGAATCGTCCGAAAAATCTGCGAATAAATGGTTCATTAGGTTTTGAAATAACAAAGAGCTCAAATGGAATGGTTCATCAATAAAGTCAAAATAATATGTTGTAACTTACGTGTATTAGCCCTTAATCACAATACCAGCACAGGTCGGTCAGCGAAACACTAAGGAAATGACCTAATAAATGCAAAATTATAACTTATTTGTAAAATAATTCGGTTTTATTACAATACTTACCAAATTTCACGCAATTGGAAAACAAATGTCAGCGAATAAGAACAAAACGAACAACGAAAATTGAATCAATGTAGCTTGTTCAGAATTTTTTCTAATATTTTGGGAAATGTTCAGTGAAAATAGCAAAGAAACAACACAGTTTCTCCTAAGGTAGTTCAAGATGGCGGATTAGAGCGAGAAGTTGCCAACGTATAACACCTTTCATTATTGCATCATGGATAAACATATTTGTCTAGTCTTGCATTTTTTCTTATTATTATTCATTTTGATCTCGTTAATACCGCTCGCGTTTATACATTGTGCCTTAATATCAGTAAATCTCTTTAGAAGTCTTCTTATTCTCACACTCGCGCAAAAATCGTGAAGCAGTTTTATCTGGAAGCGTAAACTTACTCGCGTTTAGTTTAAGCGTTTATAATAAAGCGATTTTTTTGAATTGAATCGGTCGTGGTTTCATTTGAAGCAATAAATCGAAGTAAAGGAGGTTCTGTGCATTAACTTGGTTGTTTGTGCCCGACCCCTTGTCGCCGTCTACAATTTGTTGCCGTTGAGGTTGCCTGCTGCAAACCAGCTACATCCGTCATCGTATCACCACCACGCTAGTCAGCAAGTAACACCTAGCCATCTTCGCTCCGCCCTTGCCACCGTTCAACCATTGTCGTCGCAAGAGTCCTTGCCACCGGCTTCGTCAACCCCCAGCATCCACCAGTCGGAAGAGTCCCATCATTACAGTCAGGGAAGCCTTGTGCGCTTCCATTTGGTCCTTCGTCGCCATAATTCCAGCCAGCGATAGCAGCCCGCCCGTGCACAAATTTAAGCTTCCATTTGGACCCAAGCAAATACATAAGTACCAAAGCACTTAAGCCGTAAGTAGGCATTGATTTTTCCCTAACCCTATTTGCGTAGACCAATACTCAGACTTAAAAGCCTGAAAAATTTATATCTACATACATAAGAGCAATATTTGTTGAAAATTTTCATTTACATAATTAAAAGAATAGAGAAAAATTAGTGTGCATACATATGTACATTAAATTTTCCCGCGCTAATTGCAAACGATCCCATTTATATACTTCCGCATAGGCATAATCGCATGTACATATATACTTGCTGTTTCTCTCTCGCCTCTCAGTTGCAAATACATATGCACACATATAATTACATTTATATATAATTATACCATATATGTAAATACTTGCTAAATATAATCCGAAACGCTACAAAACCGTTTTGAAGAAAAACAAATTAAAAGCATTAAAAAGCTTCTCAAGTTCAACATTCCACAAATATTGCGTTTCCCCCATTGCCCATATATTATAAATACATACAAAGCGGGCACAGTGGTATCGAATACTTGTTACCGTGAAAAAATATATATATATATATATATACATATATACATATAATTTTGATCTCTCGGTTTTCCCGGAATTTAAAGAACACGTTTCTCGAAAGTTAATTAGGCCAAACCACTAAAAAAAAAAAAAAATTTTACTTCATTTTCTCGAATATTTTATTATTGATTATATTTAGTGATTACACCTATTTATATTACTCACTGCTTTAATTCACACATTTAAAGCTCTCTGAGACGATCCCCTTTGTGGAATTGTATCATTCTCTGTGGATTCGCTACACAGTGTAATCATCTTCCATATTCTCGCCCTCAATCAAGCCCCCCCCCCCCCCCCCCTCGCAAAACCCGATTGCTTAAAATCCTGTTCTCTCCAATTTCCCTCAATCTCGATCACGTCATCTTACAACTTTTCGAATGTTAAGTGTACCAAATACTGACGAAAAGTCAAAAAGCCCCAAAATGAGTGACGAGGAAAAATCACAAGGTACTTCCACGGATCCTCAACGCTTAACGCGTGCAAGTGGAAAGTCATCCAAGAAAGCAAAGCAATCGTTTGCCGCAAGTAAGTTCATCTCTGAAACGGATAACTTTATGGACTACTGTACGCGGCTTAGGTCCACTCAAATACAAGACAACACGGAGTCGGCCTTAAAAATAAAAGACAGTAATATCGATAATTTTTGGAATCGAGTCCAAAATACATACGATGCGATCGTAGAGACTGAGGACCACGACCTTCCCGAAGACTTCAAGCCATCTGCTTATAATAAATACAGGTCCTGTCTCATAACTTATGAGGACACAAAAGCCCAAATCGGAGACCAGCTTCAACTTCTCAAAATGAGCAATACCTCACCTACTCTCACTGTAGCGCAACCCAAAGACGAAGGTGGCATTGATCTAAAAGTGCCACCCTGCGATACCGAAGTTTTTTATGGGGGTTATGAACAATGGCCGTCCTTCCGTGACATGTTCACGGCGGTTTACATAAACCACCCAAAACTCTCTCACGCTCAAAAATTGTACCACCTCAGATACAAGACTCAAGGCAAAGCCGGCCAAATAGTCAAGCAATTCGCCCTGAGTGACGATAATTTTAATTTGGCGTGGGAAGCTCTTAAATCTCGATATGGGAACAAAAGGGTACTCGTAGACAACCAAATACGAATCCTTATGAATTTAAAGCCAATTATAACAGAAAACAGTGAGGATATACAGAGATTGCAGTCCTCTGTAAATAACTGCCTCCAAATCCTCGCCACCCAGCAAGTTTCGACTGAAAGCTGGGACCCAATCTTAATATATATCTGAAAACACAGTATCCCTGTGGGAACAGTCCCTTAGTTCCAGGAAAGATCTTCCCAACTGGTCTCAAATGAACCAATTCTTAACTACTCGGTACGAGGTGGTCGAACGGGTTGATCAGTGGCGTCCAGCCAAATCAAAACCCACCTCTCAAAATAATAACCACTTCTCTAGGCCACCTCCTTCTCATAACATACCCCATTTTAAACCAGCCCATTCACAAAACACCCATAATAAATCTCTGTCACAAATCCATTCTCATATGACAGAACAGCGAACAATGCACACATGTCCAATGTGCAAAACTTCGACTCATTCGCTTTGGAGCTGCCTTAAGTTCAAAAAACTACCAATCGGGGATCGCAGACAATTTATTAAAGATCATAATATGTGTTTTAACTGTCTCTGAAAGTCACACACAATTAAAGAGTGCCCAAGCACTCAGACTTGCTTTCACTGTAAAGAACGGCATAATTCAGTGCTACATGATAGCACAGGCCCCACGCCGAATAAAAAACAGCATAGAGTCCAAAGGACTACCTCACAAGTAGCAATGACCACGTCCACAAAACAAACCCCGCATACTCCAGATCAGACAACAAGTGAAGAGGAGCTACCTTCGAGCTCCCAAACAACAAGGGTACAATCATTTTACTCTGAAAATGAAAGCAAAGTCCTGCTCCCCACGGCGATAGTGCCATTAGAACACAGGGGCGAGATTTTCAAACTAAGAGCCCTCATTGATCAGGGGTCAGAAAGGAGCTTCATTTCCTCAAAAGCTCAACAGAAGCTAAGACTACCCTGCCAAACCACTAATTTCGAAATCTCGGGAATGGGCGGAAGAGTGGTTCAAACCTCGAACAAATTATGCCCCCTAGTCTTAGCGTCAGCGGATTTGACCACAAAAATAAAAGCTCAGGCAATTGTGTTACCGCAACTAACCAAAATGCTACCCAAATTCCAGCCAACTCTGGAGCAACAACAAAAATGAGCTCATCTCAAGCTAGCCGATCCTAACTGCCACTCCCCATCTCAAATCGACCTAGTCATTGGCAGTGACCTTATCCCTCAAATAATTCTCGAAGGCATTGAAAAACTCTCGAAGAACTTGCTAGCTCAAAACACGATATTTGGCTGGATATTGAGTGGTCAAATCCCCGAAAAGGTGTCGTGCTTCTCAACTCAGGTAGAACAAATCTGGAGTGAGCGCCTAGATTCCCAACTCCGAAGATTCTGGGAACTGGAAGAAGTTCCAAAACCCAAAATAACCAGTCCCGAAGATGAAATTTGTGAAAATTTGTTCAAGTCTACAACCACAAGAGCTCGCGATGGTCGTTATATGGTCCGGCTGCCTTTCAAACCAAGTTTTCCGGAACAAATCGCCTTAGGTCAGTCTCGCACCTCAGCTCTCCAGCAATTTCTCAGCATGGAGAGAAGTCTTCTTAAAAAAACTGATCTTAAACCTCTTTACGACAACGTGTTGGAGGAATATGTAACCCTTAACCATATGGAAGTAACAACTCCATATGAAAGCGCTTTCGGAGACAAATTTTGGGCATTCTATCTCCCTCACCACGCGGTGGTAAAACCCGAAAAGAAAACGACAAAGGTAAGAGTCGTCTTCAATGCATCTAAGAAGTCAGGGTCAGGTTACTCTCTCAATGATGTTCTCTGTACCGGACCCACCCTCCAACCCGACCTGATGCTATTGATACTCAAATGGCGCACATATAAGTTCGTTTTCAATGGCGATGTCGAGAAAATGTATCGCCAAATACTTCTACACGACGTCGACCAAGATTATCAACGAATTGTATTTCGTTCAGACACAAATAGCCCCATACGCGATTACAAATTGAAAACCGTCACCTTCGGCGTGAATTGTGTGCCTTACCTCGCAATACGCACCCTCCACCAACTCGCAGAAGACGTGAAAACGTTACATCCCAAGGCGGTTTCAATATTGATAAACGAGACATATGTAGACGACATTCTCTCTGGTAGTCACGATACACTATCGGCCCAAGAATCCCTCTCGCAAGTTATTCAAGCTCTCAATTCGGCAGGCTTCCCAGTGAAAAAAATAACTGCCAACCGTCCTGAAATTCTTAAAAATATCAATGCGGATGATTTGCTTGATACTCATTTTCTCGAATTTGAGAAAGCAAGCGCCACAAAAACTCTAGGAATTCAATGGAACGCGCTCTCAGATACCTTCTCGTATACCATTGATTCCATTCCAGCGTTACCCGCTAGCACCAAGCGACAAATTCTCTCTTCTGCCGCAGTCGAGACAACCCCGCTGACATGGGCACCAGAGGATGCAAACCTCTTGATTTGGCAGCTTCGTCCCTTTGGTGGAATGGCCCAGACTGGCTAGCAAGCCCCCCCCGAGGAATGGCCAAAGTCGTCACACCGAGAAGTCAGCCCACCAGAAGTACGCCGAGTCGAAGCATTTCATGCAGCCGAAGAGAGTCCCGACATTCTCGATCGTTTTTCTTCATATTCGCGCGCTCTAAAAGTCATGGCCTACGTTTTTAGATTTTTAAGTAATCTAAGGGATCGAGTAAAAGAAATACTTGCTATTTAGCACGGCCCTCTAAGTCACGACGACCTTCGCATCACAAAACAGCGTCTCATAGCCTTAACTCAAACTCGATACTTCCCTAATGAAAATAAAAATTTAGCCAATTCAACGCCAATCGGAAAACGCAGCTCACTGCTCACTCTCAACCCATTTCTTGACAAGACTGAGCTCCTCCGCGTCAATGGTTGACTAGCTCATTCCACATTGAGCTACAATGAGCGACATCCACTCATAATACCTGACAAATCTCGCTTTGCTGCCCTGTATATTCGCTTCATACATGAATTACTTCTGCATGCGGAGTCGAGTCTCATGCAACAAGTTATTAGGCAGGAATTTTATATCCCCCGGCTCAAACCGCTCATCAAAAAATGCATTTTCCAATGTAAACCTTGTACTGTCCACAAGCAGCAAATGCGTTCGCAAATAATGGCAGCCCTGCCCCCTGAGCGGTGCACATACGCTCCACCTTTCACCATTACCGGAGTCGATTTTGCTGGACCTTTTAACATAAAGGCCTCAGTGCTAAGATCGCACACCCTTGTGAAAAGCTATGTGACTGTCTTTGTATGTTTCTCTACAAAGGCCGTTCACCTTGAGCTGTGCTCCGACCTCACCACTGATGCGTTTCTCGCCGCGTTTGCTCGCTTCATAGGGCGTCGTGGTTACCCCTCTCGAATGATGAGTGATAACGGCCGGACCTTTATCGGAGCTAAACGAGCCACCGAACGAGAATTCTCCACTTTTCTCAAGCAAGTGTCTAATAGTGTGATTGCAAAATACTCCCCACAAGGCATCGATTGGAAGTTTATTCCACCAAGTGCCCCTCACATGGGCGGTTTGTGGGAATCCGCAGTGAAAAGTTTTAAAATGCATCTCAAAAAAACTGCCGGATCTTACAAATTTACGTTCGAGGAATTCGCCACCCTACTCATAAGGATTGAAGCTGTGCTAAACTCTCGGCCCATCTCGCCACTCTCCCAGGATCCCACAGATTTTACGGCCCTCACTCCTGGGTACTTTCTAAGGGGAGCGCCGTTGCTATCGCTTCCCGAAGTGAATCACGAAAATCTGTCCCTCTTAAATCGATGGGAAAAAATTAAGGTTCTACATCACCAGTTCAGCCGACGCTGGAAGGCGGACTACATTAAGGATCTGCATAAGCGATATCGATGGAAGGACACTACAACTGAACCAAAGGTAGGAGAGTGTGTTCTTATCAATGACGACACGCTACCTCCAACCGAATGGCGTCTGGGACGCATTGAGAAGGCGCATCCTGGCTCAGATGGGCACATTCGTGTTGTTGACGTTCGCACTCAATCCGGCATCCTCACTCGACCGATTGTGAAGCTATGTTTCCTCCCTTCGTCGGATGGCCAATGTTCTCTTGTAGAAACCGAGTAAATATCATAAATAGCATTCGCAACCTTTTAGACTCATCGATGCGTTTCCAGTAGGTTCTCTAAGCCCGCTTTGTATCCCATCCCTTATCTTCGGCTCAAAGTAAGCTCCTCAATTTATACACAAGTGTGCTACTTGAATCACTTACCCATAAAACAAAAAAAAAAAAACCCTAAAACACGAAAATCACATCAAATACACTCAATCCTGCACCCACTCTCATGCATATCACTAATACCTTATACAAACGCTTCTTTGCAGATGGAAATCGACAATGCTCCGCAGCCTGCCCCGCGCAAGTTTGTGCGATCCAGCGTGGTATTGACGCCCAGCGCCGCAGCAGAAAACGACTCTGCAACACGCAAACAGCAGCAGGAGGATTATCAAAAATGCCGTGTTTGTGTTCGCCGCCACCCGCTCCGCTTGTGTCCTATATTTAAAAGGAACAAAGATACTTATTGGCGCGGGCTCATCACTTCTGCACGAATTGCCTCGCATTGTCTCACGCTACCGGCGAGTGCACCTCCGTGGCCAGATGCTGATTCTGCGATTTACGCCATCACTCGCTACTCTACCGTAAAGTGCCGCAGTCAGTCAACCGCAAAGCATCGCAGGCAGTCCCGAAGGAAGTTCAGCGGAAACAGAAAAATCCGCAAGGGCACACAACGCCTCGTCGTACCAGTGATCATGCGTCTCACCGTCATCGTCCAGCTCGTGTAGAAAACCGCACGGTCAAATATACCACGCACGGATTGCGCACTGCAGCGTACAGAGGGAAGATCAGCCGGCAGTTGGTTCATGAAGCCCTAAGTGCACTTAAGGAATTGGAAAAGACACTAGCCGCTTAGCGCGCCTAGGGCCGCGACGATGTTCAAACGACTACTGCCGAT